AATTTATCTCAACTCATATAATAATAATATTTTATTTTAATTACACAAATTTCTTTACACTTCGATAATTAATTCCAACGCATGATGCAGGTGTTTTGTTTATTTTAATTTTGTTTATGTCAATTTTTTTTTAAATTAATGAATAAATCAGGTTTCAGTCTAAATTAACAAATCAGTATCTTCATCTGAATATACAATTTTTTATATAAATATTTGATTTTTTACATTTTCATTTAATTGAAAAATAGTGAATGTCAATTTCATATATTCAATATGCAGTATATTTGTAAATGTCAAAATATTTCCTTTTTGGTCGAAAATTTTTTGTTTGATTTTGTTATGAATAATTTTAAATTCAATATGTCGCTTTTTTATTGTGATCTCTGATCTATAAGGTTTTGATGAAGTTTTGGTATCCGAAATAATTTGGTAAGCTAATCAAATAAATATAAATTGTAAATCTATTTATATAATTATTTTCATAAATATTGACAGATGACATTTAATTTTTTTTTTCATGTCAACATTTATTTAAATTTTTAAGCATTGATTTTTAATTAGATTTAAAACTATAATCAGTGATTTTGTATGTAGCATTTCATCAAATTTGGAATAAATGTTGGATATTTCTATATATGTACATGTTTTTGAATTTTATTTTTTGAAATGTCAAATTTTTTTTTCAAAAATTATATATCCAAATTTCCTTTAATTTTGACATTTGTCATTTTAGTGTTTTGTTTTTTTTTTGGTCATTTTCTGTCAAAATTTTTAGAAATTTATAAAAATTATATATTTATATTTCAAATTTACTTTTCAAAATTTCCTATAACCTAAGTTGGATATATATGCACACGATGAGCCATTAAAATTTAAAATCGGTCCAGTAGTTTGGGCGTCCATCGCGAACCAACATCGTGACACGAGATTTATATATATATAGATATATATACCAATTGTACCTAATTGGTATATATATTTTACCTCGGTAAAAATCTTTGTACTGATTAGTTTTACTAAATAATTAATTTTTTTCAACGGTATTGACATTTTTAATTTGTCCTTACTTTATTGAACCAAACTTTATTGAGTTATTTCCAAAAAACCATTTAAAAAACTTCACTACACTTTATATTTAAACTTTAACACATCACTTATTATTATTATTACCTATTATTAAACAGCATTTCATCATTAATTTATTAAAAAAACAATAAAAACTTGGTGCTATTACTAATGTATTAAAACTTTGTTTATTTCTAAATCGGCAAAGATTTATATTATTTTTAATATGGTGATAAAATAAATACTAGTATATCTGATAATGAATATTAATATTAAAAATTTGTTTTTTTGGTAAAATATTACCAAAATGGTTCATCAGCGCCCTGTCTATCGTCGCCATATGTCACAAAAGCGGGCAGCTGTTTTTATTTGTATTTTATTTTTTTCGGATGAAATTTGAAACCTTTTGCTCGGCGGGAGATTTGAATGAGAAAAATTAAAAGGGATTTTTGTGTGCGTTTAGACAAATTATATACAGTTATATAAAAGAGAACCAAGATAATAAAAAATCTCATACAAACATCCATGTTATAAATTAACAATGGCGCGCAAAACCTATTATTATTATATTAAAAATATATATTAAGCTTTAATAGTATTTAGGACTCTAATAAATTACCAAAAATAAAAATAAACATGAACTAGGACTACTATATACTACTATAAATAAACTACTAAAAATGCTGATAAATTCTTTTGTAATATTTAACAATTTAACCCCGGTTAATTTTAAAACGCTTTTCTGAAGTTCTTTTTCTGTTTTCTATTTATTTTGAAATTAACTATTATTAAACTTAATTAATTAAATGAAAGCATTCTAATAATAGTAAATAGTTTTTTTTTTCATTTTCATTTAAATATTAAATGCCCAAAAACAATAAGTTTACAAATAAGCACGTGATTTAATAAAAATAATAATAATAATTTCAAAATATTAAAATCATCACATTACAAATTCGAATTCAAATGTCAACTGTTAAAATAGAGATAAAATCAGCACCACGCGCGACTGACTTCAGAGTGTTGGGTATTTTGTTGAATATTAATTACAGTTATTTTGTATAATATTTAATTTTTATAGTTCACTCGTCAGTAAAGTTTCTTTTACTTTTTTATATTTTGTTTGGCGAGTAAATTTCATATCTAGATAAAATAATATAAAGAAGGGACTTTACTGACGAGCAACCTGCCTGAAATGTGTCGTGAATATTGAAAAAGAAGCCTACTGACGAGGAAATTAAGAAGCAGCCTAGATGTTAAACCAAAAAACTCTACTAACCGAGATTTTGTCCGAGAATAGGCCCATAAATATATTAATAATAATATAAGTCGGCAAAATTTGTAACAAGAGATTTGTTTTATTTTAAAAAATAGGACTCTACTAACGAACCAACTAAATCTAGATTACTCTCATAATAAATATTTGAACAATAAGCCCATGAATTAAAAAGGGAATTGTAGGGACTGCGCTGACGAACAAAATAAAAAAGGACTCTACTAACAAGAAAATTCGATATGAAGAATAAAACTCTCTAATGTCAAAGTAGGAGAAAAAAGAACTCTACTGACGAGCAAACTTGAATAAAATAACAAAAAGGAACTCTACTGACAAGCAAACTAACAAAAAAATAGTAAGAACATGTCACTTTACTGACATGCAAACTTAAATAAAATAAGAATAAAGGACTCTACCGACGAGCAAACTTTAATAAAAAATAAAAAGAGAGTCTACTGATGAGCAAAAGAGTAAAATGGTAAAAGTAAAAGATGAAAAAAACTCTGCTGGCGAGCAAACTAACAAAAAAAATAATGATACTAGCGATAAAAAAGACTCTACTGACGAGCAAAAAAGACTCTACTGACAAGGAAACTATAACTAAATAAGCAAAATGAACTATACTGATGAGCAATTAAGTTAGATCAGGAGAAAATGAAAAAGAATCCATACTGATGAGCAAACTTTAATAACAAGAGAAAAAAGGACTCTACTGACGAGTATATTTGAATTTGATCCAGTAAATAAAAAAGGATAAGTGTCTGCTGATAAGAAAACTTATTTTGATCTAGTAGATAAGAAAAGAACTCTACTCACGAACAAACATAATATTTAGATAGATTAATATAAAGAGAGAACTCTACTGACGAGCAAATAGAGGTTCAATTTAGTAATTAAAGAAGGAACTCAACTCAGAATCAAATTAATTTTCATTGTGAGCAATAAAAGAAACTCTACTGACGAATAAATAACAATTATCAAAATTACTGTATTTAATATCATTCAAAGTGCTTTCACTATGAAGTTGTTCACGAATGGTATTTGATTTGATTCGCTCTGAAGTTGTAATAATTTTGACATTTAAATTTGAATTCGTATAAACTTATTCCTCATATTTATATTAAAAAAATAACGAATAATATTTTTCATATGTATATTCAAATAATAACCACTCATTTAGTAGTACAAAAGTGACCATTTTATTTTTATTACTAATAAACTAAAAAATTATATTGTTTTGTGTGTGCGTTTTCTTGAATAATGGTAGTCAGAATTACTGTATTTAATATTGCACAAAATGCTTACACAATGAAGTTCTTCGCGATTCTGGTACTAGACATAAGTTCATTCTGAAGTTTACAACGACCGTTGAGATTTAAATTAGAATTTGATAAAACTGTAGCAAACTGTAGCTCGTCTTTAGAGTCCCTTTTCTCCTATTTTATTATTTTGTTCGTCAGTAGAGTCCCTTCTTAGATTTTGCTCGTCAGTAGAGCCCTTTTGACACTTTTAATTCATTTTGCTCGCCAGTAGAATTTTTTTAAATTCAATTTAGTTAAAATCTAGTATGCTCGTCAGTAGAGTCCCTTTTTCTTATTTTATTTGTTTGCTCTTCAGTAAAGTATCTTTTTGATATTTATTAGTTTGCTCATCAGTAGAGTTCTTTAATCTTTATTTTGTTAATTTAATTGTCAGTAGAGTCCCTTTTCATTTTATTTTAGTTGGCTGGTCAGTAGAGTCCCTTTTCATTTTATTTTAGTTTGCTTGTCAGTAGAGTCTTTTTAATTCTCCAAATCAAAATTAAAATTTACTCATCAGTAGTGGCCTTTTTTTATCTCCCACATCAAAATTAAAATTTGCTCGTCAGTAGAGTCCCTTTTTCTAATTAATTGAATATTTTAATCAAATTTGTCCCTGGAGAGTTTTTTTTAATTAACTCGTCAGTAGAGTCCTTTTTTTGTTATTATGATCGTCAGTAGAGTCCCTGCTCTATTTTTTATAATAATATTAAGTTTGCTCGTCAGTAGAGTCCTTTTTAAAATCTTTTGCTCGTTAGTTGTCTATTCTTTTTATTAAAAATATTAAGTTTTACAACATAACACCATATATGAACGTATTACGGAAAATATTGTTATAATTTAGTTGACAGTTAAAACTGTGAGGTTATGTTAATAAAAAATACTTAATAGAGCAATAATAATAATAATAATAATAATAATATATATATATATATATATATATACTATATATATATATATATATATATATATATATATATATTGTGGTGGTCCTTAATATGGACATTTTCCGGAATTTCTTTGCTCCCAAGGGCTCAAATGTTTCCAAATTGATAAAAGAAAATTCTCTGAAAGTTTCGGCTCTTAACATTAACATTTAGATAGTCCGCAATGTTAATAATGAATGTACAAAACTTTCAATTGAATGGCGCACTATCTAAATGTTAATATTAAGAGCTGAAACTCTCAGAGAATTTTCTTCTATCAATTTGGAGTCGTTTGACCCCTTGGGATCAAAGAATTTCCCGAAAATGTCCATATTAAGGACCACCCTAATATATATATATATATATATATATATATATGTATATACATATACACATACATACAAACATACACATAAATCTATTCCTCCCCCTTACCTGGTATTAAGATCCTCCAACCGGGCCAACTGATGCTGGCCCAAAGTGATCCCCTGTGCAGCAAGGGCCTGCTGCAGCTCATTAACATCATCGACGGCCCTCTGAACGCCCGCCAATCTTTCCCCAAGGGCCCCACCGGCCTTCAGGGCGTCCAGGGCCTCCCGAACGGTCACCGGATTGTCCGTCAGGGCGTTCGGGGGCCTCCATTGGGTTCGGAGGGCCTCCAGAGAGGCCAGACGGGCCGAGAGGTCGTCGGTCGATTGTTGGAGGGCCCGAATTTTCTGCAAGGTAAAGGGTAAAGGATAAGTATAAATGTATTTCTATAATTCATAAAATTGGAAAAAATTCGTTAATAAACTACAGAAAGATTTATCGAAATCCGAAAATCGTTGAGCAGGAGTATCGTAGTATATAACATCGTTACAGAAGAATTGTATATATGAGATGTAAAATATATATATACATATATATATATATATACATATATATATATATATATATATTAGGGTGGTCCTTAATAGGGTCATTTTTAGGAATTTCTTTGTTCCCAATAAAATATGAAAAAGGGACTCTACCGACGAGCAAACTTGAATAAAAAATAAATAGACTCTACACTGATGAGAAAACTCGATTAAAATATAAAAAAGAAACTCTATTAAAGTGCAAACTTGAATAACCTAAAAAAGGAACTCTACTAATTTGTATTCTGCTTGTATTGACAAAACAATTGCTTTTGAGGATAAAATATTATTACATCTTTTTTTATTTTCCATAATTTTAGAATCCGTTAACAAACTACAGAAAGATTTATCAAAATCCAAAAAGTCGTTTAGGAGGAGTATCCTTTCAATCGTCGTTACAGAAGAATTTTATATATAAGATATAATATACATATATTCACAAACGTTTCGAGACTAGGTTTGTCTCATCATCAGTGTGTTATAATTTAAAATTTAAAATATGGTAATCTAAATTAGCATTTTGCGTTATCCATTACAAGTGTATATTTGATGTTGATATATATCTTTAATTTGGGTTTAAAATTCGGGCATAACATAAATAAAAATAGTATGAGAGAGTTTATTAAAAGTTTATTTATTTAAAATCCATACGTTTCGGCTAGCATCTTAGCCATCATTCAGTGGTAATCAAGTTAACTATAAAAATTGAAACTAAATAAGTTATATGTGAGAAATTTCTTAGAAAAACAATAATAATAATAATAAAACACTTACAATTTTGTATCCTAATATAGCAATATTTGCTATATTAGGATACAAAACTGTGAGTTATTATTATTATTATTATTATTATTATTATTGTTTTTCTATAAAATAGCAATATTTGCTTGCCTTTTATTTTCAGTTTGCACGTCAGTAGAGTCCCTTTTTATTATTTTATATATGTTTGCTCGTCAGTAACGTTTCTTCATATTTCATTAAAGTTTGTTCGTTAGTAGAGTCCCTTTTTCTTATTTTTTATTTAAGTTTGCTCGTCAGTAGAGTCCCTTTTTCTTATTTTTCAAATGTGCTCGTCAGTAGAGTCCCTTTTTATTTCCTTCTCAACGTCAGTGGAGTTCCTTTTAGTTTGTTATTTTTTTAGTTCGACTTTTTTATTGTGACGTGTCGAACACAAGGGACTCTACTGACGAGCAAAATGTAATGATAGGAAAAAATATTAAACATCAAATTTACTGCCAAATATAAAAGTATTATAAGATAATAAGCGAGACTTTTAAGCAAGTAATAATATAAGAGAGTTATCTAAGAATTGAACCGGTTAAAGTCAAATAAAACAGTGCGCCATCTTTTGATACAGCTGTTAGAGTTGTAGCCTTTGTGAATCGAATCTGTTTCGTGTGAAAAATCTTCACCATGTACATACAAACATATCGTTCGCATTTCCGTCCTGTCCGTCCTATCAGTTCGTCTGTCCGTCTGTCCGTTTGCAAATACCGTTGCAAATAGTGGCGCCAGTATAAACATTCACTTCGTCGGGCGGGAGGGACACGAACGATTTGCATTCGCATACACTAAAAGTATCCGCAAATAGTGTTGCCAGAACGCTATATCGATACTAGTTAGTATCAAGTATCGAAACATACACAAAAAACCGATTGATATTACTTAGTATCGACTAACT